GTTGGGTGACAGCGGGGTGTGGGTGGGTCAGGAGGGGGAAATGATGGGGTTCGGGTGGAAGATGATGCTTGGTGCTACGTGAAAGTCTGGGAAAATTGTGTGCAGAAATGAGGAACAGCGCATTTCACAGAACTGCTTACTCAGAGAGGACACTGATTTTGTGATGGTGATGTCCTCCTCTGTTGGTTAATTACATTCATCCTCTTGAGTTTCAGGAAAAAAGGATGAGAAAATGCTATGCTTTCAGAAGTACTATTTTTAAACCAGGAATCAGATTTGAGTCCATGCAGCTCATAGTTAAATCATAACCGCAGCATGAGTCTGTAACGCACTGTTATATCTTGGTTGCTAACTGTACATCCTGAGGGCATAAATACAGTGCTGGCGTTTCTAGTGGATTGAGGTGGGAGGCAGCTGTGATGATGATACAAGTTTCTTGTAATAGGCAGGGTAATAGCCCCTAAAGATGAACAGGTGCAACTTGTGCACCTACAGCAAGAATCAAATGGCATTGCCATCAAATGAGGTGTAACTTTAGTGCGCATAATTAAAAATACTGGGTGTTTTTTGGAATCAAAGTATCTCTTCTAATAACTAGCGTCACCATAATGTTCTTATTATAAAAAGGCAAAGCCCAGAATGTTCAGTTCTGAATGCCCAAAGCAGAACTTTTTTCTTGCTTAGACACCAAAACATAATGTATTCATTGCCATAGGTGCTGCATGATCCTAAATATGTCAACTTAGCATTCTGACAAATGCAGAGGTTCTGTTGGTGTAGGATTTCCAAAAGAACTGACCTTAAATATTGATTTAGGATCTTAGTATAAAGTATTTGGATTACTGTGATGGAAATTGAAAAAAAAACTCTGTAAAAATTAACTTTAATGGTGGTCTAACAGATAAATTACATGCTTCCATTAAAAGCATGTATTTAATATCCACGCATCTAAGGCTGGACAGCGTGGACTTTGAAGAATACTGGTACAGCTGATACAGAAAGTGCTATTCAACAGTCTGCAGAGTTTTAAGAATAATTTATAGCCAAATTGTGTGCTTTCCCTTGTAAGTAGGGAGCCTGTCTGCATCGCAGGTGGGCCAGTGTTTGAAGCTTGGATTCCAAGGCAGTAGCTGCCTCTGAAAGTAACTGTGATGTGTGGTTTGTTGCGTCCTGCAGTTGTGATGCTGTGCTCTCGGGTAGCTGTGACAAGGTATGATGTGTTCCTTAAATTCAGTGGGTCAGAAATGTAAAATGGGGTTCAAATTTTGCCTCTCAGCAGGGATGATTTCAGATCTAGCCATAAAATAAGACGGAAGCTACTTTAGCAGTGCCTGTTTTGGATCATTTCAGGAGAAGCTATTTCTAATTACTTTGCATTTACCAAGGGGCAGAGAACTCATGTGCAAACGGTTCCTGCGGAGCGGTTAGAAAGGCATTTGATAGTGTTCTGAGTTATTTCAACTATTTGAACTTGCTTTGCTCTTGGGTTTTTTTTTAGCCTTCCATCTTAATAAAGTGTACCCTGAGGACTGGGACTTACCAGAGTTTGGATCTTTATTTTCTTCCTCCTGGGGTACCTTCCCTCTGGGTTATGGTAGTTTTCTAGTCATTCTTCAGAATCCTGGTATTAAGCATATGCTTCTTTTATAAAATAGGGATTGGATTTTGAGTACAAAACCAACTAGGTAATTTTTTTCCCTATAGATTGAAAAATTATTAATACTGGTACTTAACAGTATCAAAAGCCACAGGCAAATCTAGCTGCGTGCAGAGCCTGGTCATTACAGGCTTTAATGCTTGCAGAAGAGGTATGTTGCAAAAATAAATTCCTTGCGTGGCTGATTTTATTTTTTCCGAGAAGTGGATGTGAGATTGTTGAAAGGGTTTTGGATATGTTCTGCCCTTTTGATCAGTTGAAGTTGGAGGTTGCCCTGGTGAAGCCAGAACCATACCCAGCAAGGAAAAGTGGGAAGAGCATGTATTGTCTAGGTTTGGTAGAGCTGTAAAGCAGTATTTTCCACCAGGACTAATGGGATGCCAACAAGTAAAGGCATAGTTGGAAATAAAGATTGTACTTGGATTTTTAGACAAAGTTGTAGATAAAGTTCCTATGTAAAGGGAACATTGGAATCTAAAATCTAAAAAAAAATCTAAATCTAAAACAATCCTGTAAATTATCAGGGTTGATTAGAAAAAAATGCTGGTATCTGATTAAAAGCATCAGTTTGATGTGGTGATGGTGTTATATGTGGTTCCTGTGATGGACCTGTGAATTCAGAACATAAGTTTGTCACTGGTTTGGCTGAAGGAAGCACAGAGTCATTAAAAGACCCCCATAAGCAAAGCTCAGAGGTACTGAGGCAGCTTATGCTCTGTGTGAAACCAATTTTCTCCAGCTATCCAGGAGGAAAGGGCTGGCAAGAAGACGGTGGATCTCAAAAAATAAATGTGATTAGGTTAATTCAGAAGAAACTGCTTTAGATTTCCCTGCTGTGGCTAAGAATTACCATGCAGCCAAATACTGCACATCAGCTGTCATACGGTAACATTTTACACCCACAGTATGCATTTTCTAGCATGCAAATCAAACCTTGAACACATAGTCCCTAAAGCACAAGGCGAGACATCATCTCTGATGTGGATATTTTATTAATATGAAGAACTGTGTGAGATTTTAGACCAATACTTTTCCCTGACACTCAGTAGGAATTGTACAGCAATCCTGGGGCTGTGTTTGCACAAGCAAATGGGTAGCTTTAATTTATCACTGGAATGGCTTCATGTGGTGCAGGTGGAAGTTGCAAAGTAAATAATATCTACCCCTCTAGATAATTTACACTTGCAAAGATTTCTAGTGTGCAGATAAGGCTTGTGTGTACCAGGTAAGCTGTATGTTTTACTGAATTCCTTAGGTTTTGCCCTGACTAAAAGCATTATTGTTCTGTGGTTTAGCATGGTTTCACTGGTGGCTGCTGCTTATAGTAATTTTATTTCTTTGCCAAAGACTTGTACATCTTTGAAAGATGTTCAGCTGGCTGCTGACAGTTTAACTGAAACAATACATTTTCATCAATTTAAACTGATCCAATTTAGTTAATTGAAGAACTTTGAGTCATTCATTGTTTCAGAAATCTCCTTGTAAAGAAAAGGAACACATCTGATACAATACTTTATTAACAGATCATAACTAATCGAGGTAGCCTTCACTAGGCATTTGCCTTTTCTGTGAAACTTTCCGTGCCTCTGTGAGCTTTCTGTTCCCTC